CGGAAATTTAGTATAGATTTTTTTAATAATAAAAAAATTAAAATCCGTCGGAAATCCGTCATAATTTCCGACGAATTTCCGACGGAATTATTTTGCTCGGAAATCTGTCGGGATGCCGTCGGAAATTTCCGTCGGAAATTCCGTCGGAATACTGCTTGTTTTCTTGTAGTGTAAGGTGCAGGACGAGAGCCGGTCGAAAGCAAAGACCACATGAAGAACAGGGTGGACAACATGGGATATCGGTTGACAAACCGATAAGGCTGCCCTATAAACCATGCATCAACCCTGGGACGAGTTATTTAAATTTGCAATAACAAATGTGTCGTTGGCCTCGGAGAGGCTCCAAACGGTGGCCAGAAGAAAACAGAGGTTCGCAAAAGAGGAAACCAAAAAGAAGATTCAACCAAATCTCATTTATTTTTTAATTGTTACAAAACTTTCACCCAATGTATCTGTTAATTCTTATAGTTTAAGTATTTAACTAACAACTCCTAAAAATTAAATTTTCCATTAAAAGTCTGACCAAATCCCCAATTCGGTGGTGTCACATTAATGAAATCCTTAGCGATCCCGTCGCTCGTCATAATCCTGAACGATAAACCTTGTCCGGTTAACACAACATCAGTGATCCAATTCTGTCCCCAGTTCTTCTTCATTGTTATCCACCCGGTCTTACTTCCTTTAACCTGCATGGCCTTAATATCTCCGGCTCCTCCAACATTGTACGGCAAGATCATTAAGAAATTAGGATTTCCTTTGATTTCAAACTTGACACCACCGATTTTCGCACAAACAACACGTCTATATTGAACCGGGACAACCCCGGCTTTGTATTGTGCAATCTTGAGGAACATTGGTTGGGAAAGATCAAAATGTTTTTGTGGTGGATTGCACCAAAGGTCTTTGGTTTTGGTGTAATCTGGTGGACAGAAATTTGTAGCTGTGATCTTGATAGATCCGGGCAAACACCATTGTGGAGCACGCACGCACCTGATCTCGTAACAAGCTCCGCACGTGTACCCGTCGTTGAAGAGTGCGGTGCTCAACGCTGCTGTGGCTAGACCATAGCCTTGTTTGTTTAGATCACCATATCCACATGCTCCCTCTGTTGAATATATAATGGAAAAGTTGGTATGTAATGTTATGCACATAAAAAAACTTCTTTGTGAATTGTAAATGCAAACGCAAACGAAGGAAGAAAATAAGTTGGCGTTCGCGTTATAGTTTGTATAAATATATATATAAAATTTGTAGCCGACCGTACAAACAATCCACTGAAAAATATATTATTTTGAAAACAAAACAACATTTCACTTAATTGGATTCGAGAAAATCAGTAACTAAACTTACGTTGAGTGCCTCCACCATGGACGTCACCATAAAATGTGGCTCGTGCGTCATACCAAGCAGTGTCGAGCGAGTTGGGTCCAGGTGAGTCGGCTGCATAACCAATCACCGGTGAGTCGGCTCCATGACCGTAACTCATTGGCACGAACCATATCGCCATTACCATCATCAAAACTTTTGAATATATCATTTTCGCTAATAGTTTTTATCTTTCTGTATACTTTGTTTTTGTAGAAAATCTCTTTTTTATACTTAGTTTTGATTGATGATTAAAGAGTATGAACGAGGGTATAATATATAGGGAAGTAGAACATTAATTATGGTAATTATGTAATTATGCGTATTGAAGATTTAGTAGTCAAACTGCATCTTATAAGTGTTGACATTGCCATATATGTAAGTTTGAAAATGGTACGCGTCAATAGATTTTATACATATACTTTTCTAATTTACATGTAATTAGTTTATTTCTTTTAATCTCTTGCATCTTTACCATTTTGTTCAAAATATGCTACATATTGGCAAGTTTATCATGATGAGATTGACCACACACAAAAGTAGTACAATTACTATAGGGAAATTTGGTGTCATAGCTATCAAAAGTTTATAAATTAATAGATAACCAAAAAATCAGTTGACTATGATATTCTTTATAATTTGTGTATTAATTACAAAAACTGCCATTCTCTAAGACACACCTCATTTCTCTCTCT